TTCAGTCTGATGAAAGGGCTAACTATTGGCTATGGCAGCCATGTTTAACATTATGGCTAAGAAGTTTTAAAAATTACACATTTAACAGCAGGCCATCGCGAGCAGAACCAACTTCTACAGGCTCTCGTTCTTCCCCCGTACCATCAGGGAATGGAACGAACTTGAGCCTGGTGCGGTGGAGGCGGGGTCTCTCGCCCAGTTCAAATCTGAACTGGCGAGGACCCTGCTGCATTGAGTCACCCCATCATGTCTTGTATATATGTAAATATTACTAACGCACTAATGCACTTGTCCTGTCTTTAGCACACACAAAATCAGTTGTCTTATGTTCCTTTCTCAGTTATCCTTGTTTTTCCCTTTGTTTTTTATGTACCGGGCACAATTGTTATGGGTTCACCACACCACGAAGTGGTGTGGTGAAACCATATTGCTTTTCCTCATGATTCTCCTCCTTCTTCTTCTTCTTCTTCTCCTCCTGCCATATCTTTAAATGGATTCAGCTTCTTCATTTTAGGGCCTAAGGTCCTGAAATTTGGTATGGAGGTACAGTGGGCAAATACCCCTAGGCGTTTTTTAAATTATTGTGATACAGGCTTTTAGAATGGTTTTATTTGAGTTTTTTGGCTGTGTAATAGCTAATGTATTACTGTGTAAGTGTGCAGTGTTTACCACATTTGGACATGAGTCATCACAATGGCATGCAAGGCATCAACCAATAGGCATGCAGCTTTCCTCTATTCTCCTTGCTGATTGGCTGTTGGGATTTAACTGGCTTATTCATTTACACCTGCACAGAGCCATGCCATACTGACAGTATGTCTGTATTCAAGTGTTTTGGTAGGTATTTTAAGCTTTCCTGCTCCAGCATTGGAATGCGGGCTATGAACGCTTCTTTTTATCTTGAAAATCAACAGTTTGCATTATGCAATCCTAACCAATAATGTAGGGAATAGCTATCCAACTGTTGTAGTCTTAGTTGTATGTTACTTCATACTATAGTTATATCAATGTAAAGCATTGTTTTCCCTTGTGTTTCTCATTCTTTCCCTGCCATGTGGTAAAATGTGGTGAACCCATCGCTATATTTGCTCCAAAGCAAATATTGGCCTTTCTAGTTACTAACAATATTGCGTAACGACTGCCAATAATACTACTCTGTAGTGCTGGGCAGTAACGAAGAAGACGAAGAAGAACAGCAGATTTATAATTATAGCACCCATGCAGTGATACTTACATGTAAGTCAGAATAAAATTAAAAGGAAAAAGGGTGTCATTCTGAAGCAAGATTCCAACACAAAAAAATAGGGACTGCACAACTCCAGTCTTTGTCACTCCAGTCACTGCTTGACAAAGAATTTGGATAATTTGCGTCAGTCCAATTTCTTGTGTTGAAAATTACAGTTGCTTCA